TGGCTTCAAATGATTCTTGCTGCAGCCTGACTGATTCCATCTCCCTAGAAATAAAATCTTGAATAGCAGATTCTTCTTTCTTCAATCTTTCTTCTTCTGAATGCTGCAACTTCTCAAACTTATCCTTTTCTTCATCATTTGCTTTTGCAGCTTAATGATTTCAGCTCTTTTTTCATCCAAAACATCCCACTCTTTCTCAAAATTTTCCCTTTGCTGTTTGAGGTCTTCATGTTTCTTCAAAAGTAACTCTTCCTGACGTCTGCAGTTGACTATCTGCTGCTTTAATTCAGATTGTAAGCGGATATGTTCAGCTCTATCCTGTACGGTAATTTTAAGCTTTTCAGACTCTTCTCGAATTTGTAACTCTTGCCTACTAGTTTCAGAACCTATCTTATCAATCTCATCTTTGAGAGCCTGTAAGTTCTCTCTAGCAGTGTACAGCTGTTGTTTTTCCGACTCCAACCTTTTCTCCTCAATTTTCACAAATTTCTCTTTTCCCTTGACCGTTTTCAACCTTACCTCAAGGTCCTTTTCTTTCTCCTTCATTCTCTCCAACTTCTTATCCAGTGCCTGTTCTTGCTTCCCGAACTTTTCTTCCTTGTGGTTAACTTCAACTTCCTGCTGCTTTACTTTATGTATCTTGCTTTCTAGTTCCTCATCAACAGGCTTCCTCTTTTCTTCCAGTTCCAATTCAAACTCCTGCATTTTAGCATCTAGAATAACCCTTTGCTCATCAACAAGTTTCTGAATCTCAACCTATAAAGACCCAAGGAGTTAAAGAACTTGAGGCTGCAGAATAAAAATCATTAAATAATATAACCAGCTGATTCTCAGCAAAAGGGAAAGTAAGATTATTCTCACACTATTTAAAGAATGCATACAATAAAAGGCTAAAATATTCGACAATGAAATAAATAATGCATACGTCCATCGCCATATTCACAGATTTATACCAACCAAACAAGCCAAAAGGGGACCATAGACAGGAAAAGGGGGGGCATAAAAGTATGCACATGCATACAATAAAAGACTAGTATATTCAACAATGTAGCTTTATACAAGTAAAAGAAAGACCTACGCATCTCTGCCATATAGAATACTTGGCAACTTGGTTTTTAAGGGCGCAAGGCGCACCGAGGCGCAAAAGGTCCCTGGTGCATAGGCGCAAGGTGCAGGCGCGCGCCTCCCGTATGCGAGGCGAACATTTTATGCTAAAAGATTTATAAATAAATTCTAGACAATATCTACCCTCATTACTCACCAATTCACTCATGAAGCAACTCTTTCCCACACTCTATCCCTTCACCATTGCTTGTCCCATCCTAAAGAATTAATTTTTAAATGATAAAAATTAATTTTATTATCAATTTAAAATCTAAATATAACTCTAAATTATTATAAAAAAATACTTGTTATATTTAATAAAAAATTATTACGTAAATACTATTTAATTTAATATTTTATTATTTCAAATTAATTATATATATTATTAAATTAATTAATTAAAAAAGCACAAATATATAATATAAACAGTGCACTTTTTTTGGTTAAAAACAGGCAAATGGTGGAAGATTTATCACGGACTTGTTATAAATAAATATATATTAGAGTTGGGCTATAGATTTGGGCTGCTTATAGGTTAAACTATATGGGCTACGACTAGGGTTAAGGGAATTAAAACATGTGATAAATGAAATAAAGTGCCATTCTCTTCAACCTTTCTGCTGCCATTCTCTTCAACTTTTCCGCCGCCGTTCTACTGCACCTAATCTTCTTCTTTTCCTTTAGTTTTCTTCCATTTTTTCCTTCCTATTTTCAGTTAAATCTCTCCCCCTCGCAAGGCGCAAAAGCGCTGCGCCTTCGACTGCATATAAAAGCGCCAAAAGCGCGCACCTGCCATTATGCACTGCGCCTGTACCTTCGGAGGCGATTTTTCCAGCGCCTGGCGCACGCCTAAGGTGCGCTTTTTAAAACCAAGGCAATTTTTCAGACTTTGTTGCTTGCCTCATAAAATAGGAACATTGCAACTTGCAACTATAATAGAGCACGTGATGTGAATATATAATCAATTATCAAATTTGTAGAAACTAATTGCAATTCTTCACATGTATCGAGAAAAAGGAGTTACCTACAATCATCATGGAAACTTTTAAACCTTGACTGAACTGAAGTGTGAAGAAAATTTTAGCATCATTGTCATTACTTTCAAGTCTTAAGGTCTCATACCTAAAAATAGGACATCACAATCTAGCTAATGTGCCACCAAATTCCTCATGATCCCATTAATAGCATGCCGATTCTCTCAAATGATGTTTGCCTAATAAAAAGTGTCTCACAACCAGCAAAGATTTATGCATGCACAGTGTGTTTCTTATGCATGGAAAGTGCATAACACAATACAAGGTGCCAAGAGAAACGGTAAAATATCACAGATATTGAAGCCAAAAAAGGAACAAGAAGAGATGAAGCCAGATTTAAGATTATCAAGGAAATGTTGAATTCTTTTGCATTGTTTATGAACCCAGATAAAATGACAAGTATTTTATCTCACCCTTTCTCTAGCAGTTAGCATTTCTTCCGATGCAACTAGATCCTTCTCTTTTGCCTCTAGGGTACCTCTCACAGAGTCAGCTTCCTACAATATTTAACAAACTGCAATAATCAGAATTCAGGAACAAAATCAGAATGAAATAGTCACTAAATGAGGCACAAAACCCACCTTCTCTTTTGAAACCAATTCTGCAGAACGTTTGCCCATATCATCTTCCATCTCCTTTAACTTCAATGTGGATAAATCAATCTTATTTTGCAACTCTTCAAGGCCCTTCTCTTTCTTCTTGAAAAGCCTTTCTTTCTCATTTGTCTTTTCCTCCCTCTGGTTGAGGGTTCTCCGAAATTCAGTCAACCTCTCTTCTCCTTTTTTTAGCCTCTTCTCCCACTCAATCAAGTCTTCTCTTTGTTTGTAAAATGTGGTCTGATGTGCTTCTCGTCTAGAAGCAGTTCCAAATGCATAGTGAGAGAAATTTGTCATGAGAAGTGAGCTTAATCCAATAAAGTTCAAGTCAAAGCAACCATTTAAACATATATTAAAAAGTTGAATGAGAGATACTCTGAAACTAAGGAGAGGCGATCTCTTTTAAGCACACTTTCACGAGACTCCATCTCTCGCAATTTCATTTCCAATTCTGAACTTTTTCTATTCGCCTCTGCAAGCCTAATATCAGCATCACAAAGCTTTTTTTCCACCTCTAAAGATTTTCCTTCAATTCCGGAAATCAATGCATTTGCATTGGCCAACTTTGTATCAGAACTAAGCTTAGCCTGGACATGTTCTTCTTGAATACCACACAATGCTTTTTCAAGCTGCAACAACAGATCACCATGATACCAATTTCAATGAGTTAGAAAGACAGAGGGTTAGACAAGTAAACAAATAATGAGTATTAAGGATGCTTCTAAAAAGAAACATTATATTCAATTGTATAAAGGGAAAAAATGGAAGAAAGGGCATACATCTACCACACACTGCTTTTCAGCAGCTAAGGCTTTTGCCAAGTTCTCCGCTCGTTTTTCAACTTCAGAAAATGCAATCATGTTTGCTGCCTGCTCACGTCTGAGCATCTCCTCAACTTCAGCAAGTTCTTGCTTTAATCCATCACACTTCGAAGTCGATTCTTTTTTCTCAATGAGGAGCAGCCCCATATTGTACTGGTAATTAAAAAGCTACAGAGAAATACAAATCAAGCAATGAAAAGATATTTAGCAACCTTTATATGTGCAGCTGCAATAAAGGACTCAACATAATCTCACAACATATAAAGAATAAAGCTCAACCATACAAAGTCAACTGCATAACCAACTGAGATGATACACTTAATAATAACCCACGGCTAAATAAAAGAAAGAACAAAAAAAGATCAATGCTGCACCAATTAAGAATGAAGCATGACCATCTACGTTATACATTTGGATCACAAAAGACGGCAGCCAAGTGAAATTCAACGGAAAGATAAATGCTTCGCCAGATTTTCCTTATGTTTTCAAATCACAAAATGGCCGCCCAAAATATGACAGATTTTCCTCTAAGTAGCATTTAAGCTCAAGTATGTACATCCTACACAGATATGGATTGCTTTTTGCACCAAAATATTCACTTTATTTTAAATTTCTAGAGAAAAGGCTGTCATTCAATAAACTAGGTTATGCAGCGGATGATTACAACAAAGACATTTAAACTAAAAGCAAAAGCTGTAAAAATAATAACAACTTACCTCCCCTTCGAGGTTGGAGAGTCTTTCGACAAGGGCCTCATGGTCCCGCCTTTCCAAAGCGGTTTCATCCAACAACCCGGCTTCCTTGAACCGCCTCCAATCCCCCATGTCCTCGTATTCAGCCCCAACGTTCAAAGGGACCTTGCCGCTAAGAGAAGCAACAGGAGACGGTGGTAGTTTCTTAGCATCATGGACAAAAGCAACAGCTTTTCCCTTACCGTGAATGCCACCACTGCTAGTGTTCGGCGCCCCAACCGCTTGCGGCTCAGTGGGCGGAGTTAGAGTTAATGCAGGCCACGCCTTCCTTCGAGGCGTGAGCATGTCACCAAGAACCTGATTGTGGGGGCGAAACTGAAAGCAAATTACCCTGGCGGAAACCCTAGTGGTGGCGTCAAAAATAAACACTTTGAAGCGTGGGGCAGATTTCTTTTGGTTCTAAAAGAAAGAGAAAAGTATACCGGAGGACTATTTTATTTGATTTTCTTTCTATTTTGATCACTCATTTTTTGAATAATCATATTTTAGTCACTGATATTATAGATGTATCACAAAATCTCAAACATTAAGGATCCGTTTGGTTCTAAAAGATATAGGCTATTTTTATTTTCTTAGAAAATATTTTATATTAAAGAAAATGTATTTGATCGTAAAATTAGTGATTGGGCATAACTCGTATTTACCAAATTCAACTATTTGTTGGTGTAATTTGGTTGTTATGATTCCTTGTGGATTGTTATTTTGGATTCATAGTACATGCTTATTCTTTTATGTTTGCACGGGCAGTACGATCGTTTGGAACTGAAGGAAGGAAAAAGGATGGTCTCCAAGTACCCCAAGTGATAAAGTTTGAGTACATATTGTTCCGTGGGAGTGACATTAAGGTATTGATTTTTTTTATGCTTAAAGATTTGTTACTGTTTCTTCACTTAAAAGCTAATCAAGTTCATCAAGGCATACATAATTACATATAACTAATGAAATGTCTTTTTACTTGCTTTTGCAGGAATTACAGGTTAAATCTTCACCACCTGCACATCCTACCCCACCCATAAATAATGATCCCGCAATTATCCAGTTTAAGAACAAAAAATGAAATGTTAATTCAAAGTTTGACATATCAAATCCTGAAGCTTTTCATATCCTTGCAGTCTCACTTTCCACCCCCAGTTTCAACTGCTACAAGCATGCCATCTGCTGCTGTTGGACCTTTGACTGATCTTACTCCACACACTACTCAAATGGGATTAGCAGGATCAAATTTTCAAGCGGCGCTGCCTCTTTATCAACCTGGAGGGAACATGGGGTCATGGGGGGCATCGCCTCCACCTCCAGCTGTTAATGGCGGTGGGCTTGCTATGCCAATGTATTGGCAACGATACTATGCACCAGCAATCATTGCTTCGGCCTTCTCCAGGGCTGTCAGTGCCTCCTTCCATGCAGCAACCAATGCGGTATCCTAATTTTAATGCTCCTTTGCCTACTGGCCCCACTAACTTGCACATTTCAAGCTTGCCTGAAATTCCTTCTTCTTTACTTCCTTCCAGTACCGGTTCCCTTTAACTTCTTTATCATCTTCTATGTTGAAAACATTCTGATGTTTCGATATAACAAATTAAATGTTATTGGATTTCAAGATTTTCTAATCATTTTCAAGTATATATATTCGATCAAACTATTCGAATATCAAAATATTACTCTAAGTTTTTCAAATATCAAAATCAATCCTTACTCAAGTGTAAAACTGTGTTTTAATCTTTTAAACAATTTTACAAAGTATTTCGAGCCTTAATCGAGCCAAAAATACTTTCTTTATAAATCTTAAAACGAAAAAACCAGATTGTCCAGAGGGTACTGATACCCCTCAGAGGGTACCGATACCCCATGTAAGATTTGGCTTCGAGAAATAACAGATTGCTCGGAGGGTACTGATACCCCCCAGGAGGTACCGATACCCCCATCTAATAACGGTCGAAATATTTGAATTTTACATAGCAGGGTATCGATACCCTATGCAGGGGTACCGATACCCCCAACGCTCCAAGCTGTTTTATTAATTGTTTTCACACACTAACGGCTCTATTAACACCACTAATGATCCCAACGTTCAGAAATGATCCAAGAAGTATTTAAACAAGCTTAGGAGCCATTGATCAATAACAATTATCAAGAATCAAGAGAGAATCAAAGAGAAAGCATCAAACCTCAAATTTGAGCATTTTCAAGCCTATTTCATTCAATATTCATTTTTGCTTTCAAGAACACTTATTATGCTCAATTGTATTATTATTGAGTGTTCTTTCTTTGTTCTAAAATTGTGCAAACATCTTTCCTTGTGAAAATTTTCTTGTAAGTTTGCAAAATTTGTATTGTTCTCTTTGGGAGAGAGTGTTCTCAAGAATTTGAGGTATAATTCTTGAGGGATTTGTAAGGTTACTCTTTGTCCTCAAAAGAAAGACAAATTAGTGAATTTGTGGAAAATCCTTAGTGTGGATAGTTAAGGTAGTGGACGTAGACTTTGGTTGAGAAAGTCGAACAACTCTAAATCGATGTGCAAATATTTTCAATTTTCTATAAAAGCTTCCACCAAAATTTTTATTGCCAATTCACTCTCTCTTGGCCTATTCTGTCGATCAATTAACTCAACAATTGGTATCAGAGCTTGACTCGTTTGAAGGTTTAATCACCTCTTGAGTAGATTCGGGAAGAGTTACATCGATAATCAAGTCATCAATGGCCTCCACTTTAAACCACGACTTCGATCTTGATTCATTGCCCGTCAACAAGCCTCTTTCTTCGATGGAGCTAATTATGCTTATTTGAAAAATAGAATGATGTACTTCATTCAAGCAAGTGACATGGGAGCATGGAATATCATAGAAGACAGATACATCAAACCCTCCACTCATATAAGATTGTGGAGTGAAGGAGAGACAAAATGTTCCATCTCAACTCCAAAGCTATCCATATTATTTTTTGTGCTCTTAGACCAGATGAATACGGGAGAGTTTCATCTTATACAACCGCCAAGGAAATATGGGATAAACTACAAGTCACTCATGAAGGTACAAACGAGGTAAAATAATAAAAAAATTAGTCTTCTAACTCATAGCTATGAAAATTTCAGGATGAAACCGGATGAAGATATCAAAGCTATGACGGATAGATTTTCCACGATTATCAATGGTCTCAAATCATTTGGAGAGATCATTCCAAATGAGAAGCTTGTGAAGAAGTTAGTTTACTCTCTTCCAAAATCTTGGCAATCAAAGAAGACGACGATCATCAAGGCTAAGAACTTAAAATCTTTAACTCTCGATGAGCTTATTAGTTCTCTCCTCAATCGTGAAATGATGCTTCAAGATGAGGTAGGCCTCGAAAAGATGGACTAGATAAAGAAAGAGACGGAGAAGAAGAAGAACATGGGAGTTGCTCTCAAATCCACAAAAGATAAGAGTGATTCAGATGAAGATGACGATGACGATGAGATGGCATTATTTGTCAAATGGTTCAGAAAATTGATGAGGCCCAACTGAAAAAGAAAATTCAAACGCAATGAAGGCTTCAAAAATAAATCGAATGAGAAAGACCCTATCATTTGCTATGAGTTCAAAAAGCCGGGGCATGTCAAATATGATTGCCCTCTATTGAAGAAAAAGGGTCAATCAAAGAAGAAGCACAAGGCTCATGTGGCTACATAGAGTGGTGAAGAAGGTTCCAATGAAGAGGAACAAGAAGTTGCAAACTTGTGCTTAATGGCTATCGGGGAAAACTCTCAGGTAACCTCTAACTTATTTGATTTAAATGATTTATCTTATGATGAGTTATTAGAGGATTATAATGGGTTGGCTTCGGATTATAAGACTTTATTTTCAAAATATAAAAACAATATTTCAAAATTGAAAAATGAAAATATTCTTATGTCCAAAACCAACAATGATCTAGAAAGTAAGATCAAATAATTGCAAATCAAATTAGATGAATTTGAAAAGAAAAATATCGATTTGCATAGCTTACTTTCAAGAGTAAATGATGATCATCAAAAGAAAATTGATGATCTTAAAGCTTCTTTCAATAAGGTTAATTTAAAACATTTTGAAAATGAGAGAGAGTTAAAAATCAACTTTGTTAGAAAAAGTTTTAAAAACTACAATCATAGAGGTCCCCGAATAACCTCTAATGGAAAAATCGTTAGAAGTGTATGGGTTCCTAAAGAACTCATTACTACTAAAGATAAGGATATCCTACACAAATGGATACCTAAGGGGACTAGAATTTTGAAGACTAATGAATATGGACCCAAAAGAACTTGGGTACCAAAAATCAAAAATTAATCTATGTTTGTAGGAAAATGAGAATTGCTACAAGGCACGAGAAACAAATTCAAACTCATGGTACCTTGATAGTGGATGCTCAAGACACATGACCGGAGACAAAAGCTGGTTTATAGAGCTTAACGCCAAAAATAGAGGATATCTGACTTTTGGTGATAATTCAAAAGGTCACATTGAAGGTATAGGTAATATAGGTAATACCTCTTCCATACAAATTAAAAATGTATTATATGTGAATGGATTAAAGCATAATCTATTGAGTATTAGTCAATTATGCGATAAGGGATTCAATGTCATATTTGAGACTAGTGGTTGTAAGGTTGTTGACATTACATCTAATCGGATTATGCTTGTTGGTCATAGAATATGAAACATATACATGGTGCATTTAGATTCTATAGATATGACTAATTTATGCATAGTTGCTAAGGATGAACATGATAGTTGGTTATGGCATAGGAGACTAGGACATGCTAGTATGAGTGTTTTACAACGACTAATTCAAGGAGATTTAGTTCGAGGGTTGTCTAAACTAAAATTTGATAATGATAAAATATGTGATGCTTGTGCTAAAGGAAAACAAAAGCGAATTTCTTTTAAATCCATTAATGATGTATCCACTAGTAGAGTATTACAATTGATCCATATAGATCTTTTTGGGCCATCTAGGACTACTAGTGGAAAACAATATGCATTTGTCTAGGTAGATGACTATTCTAGATATACTTGAGTTCTATTTTTAAGTACTAAAGATGAATCATTAGAAAAATTCATCACGTTTTCAAAAGTAATCCAAACGAAAAAGGTTACTCTATAACTAGTGTTAGGAATGATCATGGAACTGAATTTGAAAATCTTGGATTTACTGAATTTTGTAATTCTAATGGTATTAGCCATAATTTTTCAGCACCTAGAACTCCTCAACAAAATGGATTTGTTGAGAGAAAAAATTGAACTTTGGAAAAAATGGTTAGAACCATGATGTGTGCAAACAATTTGCCAAAATATTTTTAGGCGGAAGCCACAAATACCGCTTGTTATGTTATTAATAGAGTAATGATTAGGCCTATTTTGAAGAAAAATCCAAATGAACTTTTCAAAAATAAAAAGCCTAACATTAGCTATTTTCATCCTTTTGGATGTAAATGTTTTGTTTTAAACAACGGTAAAGAAAATCTTGGCAAATTTGATGCTAAAAGTGATGAAGGAATTTTTCTGGGTTATTCCTTAAATTCTAAAGCTTATCGAGTATTTAATAAAAGAACTTTAGTTTTAGAAGAGTCTATACATGTTGTTTTCGATGATAATCCCCTTCCAAGGAAGGATTCTTGTGTGAATGATGATGTAGGTAGTATAAACACAAATGACATTAGACATGACTTTGGAGAACCATCATCAAAGGAAGAAACAAAAGATGAGGAAACTCATGATGTTCTCGAGAATCCAACCATTGAAGAAAGGAAGTCTCTTACCCAAGGGAATACAACTATGTCAAGGATGGTGAAATAATAGGTGATACATCCAAAGGGGTAATAACTCTATCTTCTCTTAGAAATATATGTAATTATGTTGCATTTATTTCATGCATAGAGCCTAAGAATATTAAAGAAGCATTAAATGATGAACATTGGATTATGACTATGCAAGAAGAGTTAAATCAATTTAAGAGAAGTAGAGTATGGACATTAGTTGAAAGGCCTAGTAATAAATCTACTGTAGGTACTAGATGGGTATTTAGGAATAAGCTTGATGAAAGTGGTAATATAGTGAGAAATAAGGCTAGACTTGTTGCTCAAGGGTATACTCAAGAAGAGGGCATAAACTATGATAAAACATACGCTCTCGTAGCTAGGATGGAAGCAATTAGAATGTTATTAGCATTTGTATGTTTCAATGAATTTAAACTGTATCAAATGGATGTTAAAAGTGCATTTTTAAATGATTTTATAAAAGAAGAAGTGTATGTAGAACAACCTTCTGGTTTTGAAGATTCAAAATTTCCAAATCATGTTTTTAAATTGACAAAAGCGCTTTATGGTTTAAAACAAGATCCTAGAGCTTGGTATGAAAGATTGTCAAACTTTTTAATTGAAAAAGGTTTTTCAAAAGGGAAGGTTGACACTACATTGTTTTTAAAGCATAAAGTTAAAGATTTATTA